ATAGAGTCTATTGAATTTGACTATTATTTTCAAAGAGTTGAGAATTCAAAAATACAAGGCTTTCACGTCAATGGTTCTAGATGGTACATTTCTCATCCGTATATGACAAATAATGATATTTTCTGAAACTGAATCAATTTTGAAACATGTTAGTGTTCTTAGAATTGATACATGTTGCATAGTTTGTGAGATATGAGGTTTTCTTTTTTGTGTTAAAAATGTAAAGTTTCGACGAAATTTTCCGATTTGCGACATGACACGGATTTTTCTGAAAACCAGGGTCGTAGAACAAAATTTCATGGCGTATACACTGGTGACACCCATTTTTCCATTTGAAGTTTATTTTTTCAGAAAGTCGTAAAACTTACGCCGTAAACGTCAATTTCTTCCAAATAGCAGTGTAGTACTGTACTGACTGCAGAAAGCTCTGAAGGCCACAATACGCTGGCCGAAACGTTAGCCACCATGTCAGTGACGCGACGTGTCTCGGATTGTCTAGACAACACAAACTCCGGCCGCGGAAGCCTACGCAACCACGTAAGTCGACATGATCACTAAACGATACAACATAGACGCCAGTGGTTGGCGAGTTCAATTTATCTGTGTTCGTAGGTTAACGTCAGACGAACAAACTGACCTAGTGACAAACTAATACTCTGCGTACTGTGGGACATTTCTTATTGAAACCGGGAAAGAATAGTGCATACACCTGGCATATCGAATGCGAAGAAAGTTGCAGATTCAGCGAAAGGAAGTCGGTGCCCCCTGAAAACGATCTGGGTGGCAATGGAGAAATTAATTCAGACAGATTTGGGGGGGGGGGGAGAACTTAAATTCAGTTTTATTGCTCGATTCTTGCAACCGGATAAGGACAAGGCGTTCGGGCTCTCGAGAGCTTGGTTAGAACAGCCTGGTATAGATTGGGAGTTGATAAATGGCCGTATATCATGTTACCAATTCATTTAGTAGCAAAATCTATTTCCTTAATGACGTTTTAATTACGATATTACACTACAAACAAAAAATATATGGTTAAAATCCTTGATTCCACGTATTAAAAAGAAATTCTCACGTGAAGGAGTATTCTAACAGCAATAATTACCCAAGGCGAGGCGAAGCGCTGCACCTCGAACACGTCGGGCTTGAGGTGCAGCGAGACGCGATGAAAAATATATCAACATTAAAATATTTAAAACATGAATGAAACCAAACAGACGGTTGCTCTATTAATTATTAATTGTTAACAAAATATAAACATAAAACATGAGACCAATCCCAAAGCACGGGCTCAGGCCTTGGAGTCCTTGGAATCCAGCGAGTGGTGCGAGGCGAAGCGCTGCACCTCGAACACGTCGGGCTTGAGGTGCAGCGAGACGCGCCGCCCGCCCTTGGAGGGCATGGGGCGCGACAGCTGCGCATGCGACAGCAGCGTGCTGATCATGTACGTGTCGTCCTCCTCGTCGTCCTCGTGCTCCTGCGACGGCGCCTGCGACGGCTCGGGCGTCGACGTCATCAGCTGCTTCTGCTTCACCTCTAGGATGGCGCTGTCCAGCGCCATCGTGCTGTACGCCACGAACACTGCGGCAGGTTGGAAGACGTTTCGATGCTGGATTCACTGATTGGTGGATTGATTAGTGTTTCCGGGAGAGTCAACTTCTGAAACCCGGAGAGGTGGCTCAGGGCATCAACTGGCCGGTGCCTCTGATCGGTAGGTCCTGGGTTTCGAGTCCCGATGGAGGCAGGATTATCGACACTGCATTGTCGGAGAGGCCGAGTTCAGCCACTGTCTGGGGTAGAATTCAAGTGGCGAATGACGGAGCAATACTCTAACAAACGGGCCACAGACCGCGAGCTTCCTTCCCTGTCCTTAGTCTACACACGTACACGTACATGCACATAACTACCACACATGCCGAGAGACTAGGTATCTCCCACCACCTGGGACCGAGCCCCCCGGAGGGGGGGGATTCCTGGTTGGGAAATCTCCGTTAGCCGATTTAAGTCGACGCTAGATCTCACCATAAACGGGGGAACACGCACTACACTTACAGGTATAATCACCATAGCAGTTGACGTACCAGGAATCACTAATCAATCAACTTCCATAGCCAATAGTCCCGTACGTGCTGGCCATGTTGTGTTCTTGGAGGACTCTGTGTTGTTTCCCCTGCGCTGGATCCGCCTTTTCCGTGATATCCGGCGCCGAGCTACACGTCGGATTGCGGGGTTTCCCTCCCCAACGAGGCACTACCCCAACGGGGACTCTACGCGCCAGGCCCATCTCTCGACGTGTGGAAGCGAAAACGCATTTACGTATCAGTGTGTGTAAGGGGAGATGTGGGTAGAAGGAAAAGGAAAGGTAATATCGCGCGGGGACGTGGCCTATTTGATTGACTAGTTTTCCAACATTCACCTACTAGTGATAGGAAAAAAACTAGAAAAACTACCTATCAGAGCAGCCGGGCGCTGGAATTCTCCAGATAACAGGTGTTGAAAAACCATTCATCGTCGGGACTCGAAACGTAGGACCTCTGAGTCCGAGTCGCTGCAGATGTACGGTGCAGTAGTTGCCCTAAGCTGATTCAGCCGTTGTGAAGGCTGGAAAGTGCCAAACTTACATATTGCCTCGTGTGGACAACGTGACGAACGAATGAAGTTATTTCTTTTAGAAATTGAACTTAAGGTTGTATTGCTTGGCTAAAACTGGAAATCGGATGTCGCGCCGTTTGGTTACTGTTAAAAGTCAATCAAACACATGTTATTATTTATTGCTATTGATCACATGATTTTATAATCTTGGCACCTGGTGAGCAAAATTCTTTTAGCAGCTAAATATTAAAGAGCTGAATTATTCTAAGAATGAAATTTGGATATTTTTAGCGCCACGTTTAAGGTAGAGAAGCAACACTAACATACTTTAATGCGGACATGATCGATGTTACAATTCAAAAGAACCTTAAACACGGTTAATGACCGAAACTTCGAGAGATAGTTGAAGTGGTTCTAATATTTTTCAAAAATTGCCATTTTTTGGCCGCAGCATTACAATGATTTCTCTATTACGTAAGTAGTACGTAAGAAAGTAAAACGACTCAAACAGGTGGAACTAAGTAGTACAAGAAAGTCTGTGCACTTTAGTAGTACCACTAGTTTTGTTACTTTCCGCTATGTACTTACCGAAGAGAACCACGGCAAGAACAAGAGTCTCTATATCTTTTTCACATGTAATCATTCCACCTGCAACCCAGACTGATTGTTCTGCTAGTCGTATGGCTGAAGCATACATCGATATAATCAGCAGAAGCGTGTGTTTCTGAAAATTTTCGCAACAATGTTAACTAATTAATGTATTAAAAAATAATTAATTGGTTAATAATTTATTCATCAATAATTTGAAACACATTAGCGATTATCGTGCATTATCTTGAGCACCAGTTTAATGTACTGCTCGCCATCGTTTATGGCCGATGATCGGTAGAGAACGGAAGAAAGGGTTCAAACATGAGAAAGGAATGAACCTCATAGGCCAGCGAGCAATCACGTGATTTTCCGTTGCTATTGCGCATCCGAGCCCATCGGCCGTCATTTCTGACGAGCAGTGTAATTCTTTTATAATATCTGAGTAACTGCAAGTGCGAGAGTGCGGATACGTCATTTACGACTAGACCGCTTCCCGCGCACCAATTGAGACCTATGAGATGTCATTCGACGCGTCTCGGTCCCTGATACTTTCATTTCGGATTCGACCAGAAGTTTCTAAGAAATTTCCAAAAACGAGTTTTCGCGTGTTTTAGCGCTGGGATATTAGTTCATAGATCGGGAATTAAACCAACCTAAATGTAATTTGAATTTAACTTCTCCTCATAGCACGCCAACACAATTTTTAACTGTTTTGACGTAAATAAATAAATAAGTAGATCTACGTAGGTGGTGTTGATTAAACTTCTGTACACAGAGCCAATTTTCGTACCACGACGCCATAATATTCTTTCACGAGGATGGCAACACTGATTCTTACCAAACGAAAGAATCTTATTAAACTTTACACCTTGTTCACATAAACATACAAAACAGTCCGGGTGATCTTTAATGTTTATATAGATTCGATACAAAACAATTGAGGAAATAGAAGTGAACACAAATTAGATTGGGTTTGTGGAGTTTCAATCTGTTCAAAATTATGGGAGAAAAGGGTTAAGGAAATCCTCGGAAGAATCAAATGAAGTTGTAAAAGATTTTGTGACAGAATTTTCGATACGAGTTGAGAATGATCTTATTAGAGAATAATGCTGAAGGATAGCTTCCAGATGATATTTTATGTACATGTGTTATGTTGTTCTGCAGCTGTACAAATGCTTTCACTACTGTGTGTATTTATATGTAACAATGTCAAGGAGAGTTGGATTGATCAAGATTTTTCATTACTAACTGCAGATTCAGCAAGATCACGGGAATGAAAGGAAAATACCTTATTTTTAATTGCTTTCCTGACGTATTTTTAACAAATATAGGCGAAGTCGTACAGTTAAACCATGATCAACATACTACGCAGATTTCAACTCTATTGATTAACCCACAAAAATCAAGTCACAATTGCAGATATGTCGCCATTCTACACATCAATCACAATCCCTAGATGTGGCGGTTTTCAAAAGCCTCATGATCAAGTGCGAGAAAGAATTATGTAAAAGGCAAAGAGAAAATCCATGCAAAAATCACTAAACAGGAATTTATCTCGATTGTAACCAGACTGAACAAATAATATCAATGCGTTTAAGCCTGCCGAAATTTTTATGGAAGTACAGGGGTCAACAAAGTAACAACTCCCACTTCAAGATTCTGGGCAACTGACATGGAGAAGTACCAAAAGTGCTAAAATCTTAATGCTCTGCCGCCAGAAGTAGCTATGGTACCACAAAAGATAGACCCCTACTTAACAGACACTGCCTTTTCAGAAATTGCTGCTAACTCTGCTGACACAGTGTCACTGAAAGTACTTGCTACCCCAAGTGCGCCAGGAAAGTCTCTATGCACTGCCTGCTGGTGAGAGTTCTAGCAACAGGTAGCACGAACGGCAGCTTGTAAGAAAGGAAAACGTAAAAGGCGATAATAACCATAATCATAACAGATGCTGGAAGTGTTTTTCCCTTCACTAGTTTCTCAATGATCAGGGTACTATCAACATAAATGCAATTTTTATTATGAGGTTTTTATGAAATTATTTTACGTTGTCCATAAATCGACTCTTTTATGAGCTTTACATGACGGTCCGGATGGCCGAGATCCTGAAGGCTGTAGTGCCATAGCGATCCCGGACCGTAGGATCGCGGGTTCGAGTACCGCCTCGAGCATGGTTGTATTTGTATTCGTCCTTTCACCCCCTATCATCACCATATCATATCATTTTCACTGTTACCATTTCGTTTAATGCAATAGTGACCGCTAATGACTAAGATGTTGATGCGACATTAAATAACAAAAACAAAACAAAAAAAAGACCTTTAAGGTCGTATTGCCACATTTTGTTGGAATAACTAATAAAAAATGCTTGGATACTAATATAATTAATTTAAATTTTACAGGCAAGTTCAAAGTTATAACCTCTACCTGGCGTTGTAAAATCATGGCCCAGATACTCCAGTTTACCTTACCATTGCTTATTATCTGCGTTAAAGAACAGGTACAGTGAACTCAATTGAATTACTAGTTTGCAAATTGTATGGTTTTTGTGCATATGTTACAACTTATTATCAAGGAGGATAGATTCTTACAAAAATATTTAAGTAATAACTATCTGCCAAATACTATTTTTTGTTAAAAAAACAAAAAAGAATTGTAATTGAATCTATTTTTCGGAAAGAACAATTTGCTAAACAAGCCAAGCAAAATGACATTAAATAAAAACCGCTACATTTATAAATCTTTTTTTTCTTTTGTACAGGTCAGAAGATTCGAAACTTGGTGAATATTTCAAAAATATTGTTTATTAATCGCAATATTTAAATATCTTATATTTATTTAGTGAGAGACATTAGAGTAAACAAATTGTAAAATAGAAAATGACATAAAGGTATTTGAAATATATGCCAGGCGCTGGTTCCAAAAGTTATCGTTCTCCCTCTCAAAAAAGAAGTGTTTATATCTTTACCACTAACCTCTGTGACAGCCAAGAAGAGGAGGATGTCCGAAATGATAAGAATTAGATGAAATGGCACCAAAATAATCATGTGCTCCTTCCAGAAAAAAGTCGCTACGAATTGAACAAAGAGTTTAGGCCGGTGAGATAATTTTTAAAAATAATTTCAATAATAGCATTATATACAAAATATTACATATTGTAATACACGTTGTTGTGTAACAACGCGTAGTAGAAAATGAAACGTTTCTCTTACATCTCACACGTGCATTGTCCGTTGGGTCGACTGCAACAGAAAAATTAAATGAGAATTATTTAAGATTACGTCAAAGAATATCAAATGACATGTTTTCAATTTTAATAATCTTTATCATATTAAAAAATACATGTACACAAATTAGAGATTTAAATATCAATAGGAGGAATAAATGCCAAGAATGAAATTAGCCTCCATCATATTACACTGAAGTGACAAAAAGTACGGGACAGAAATAAGAAAATACGTAGATCGCAGTCATGTCGGGAATTTTAAAAAAGAGCAGTTCATTACCAGAGCTGTTATTTTGACTCGAGTGATTCATGTGCAAAGGTTTCCGACGTTATTATGGCGGTACGGCAGAAATTAACAGAATTTGAACGCAGAATGGTAATTGCAGCAAGGCGCATGGAACATTCCATTTCGGAAATCGTTAGGAAATTCGATATTTCAAAATCAACAGAGTCAAGAGAGTACCGAGCATATCTAATTTCACGCAAATCCTCTCACCATCGACAAAACAGTGGGCGACGGCCTTCACTTAATGACAGAGAGGAGCGGCGTTTGCGTAGAGTTGTCAGTGCCAACAGACAAGCATTCGAATAAATCAAGGTGGGACGTACGAGAACAATATTCATCAGGGCAATGTGGCGGTATCTGGTTTAAATGGACTATAGTAGCAGAAGACTGGATCGAGTGGCTTTGCTAACGGCATGACATCGCCTCCTTCTACTGGTCTCGTAACTATACGGCCTTGAGACGAATGGAAAACCGTGTTTTGGTTAGACGAGCCCGATTTCAGTTGGTTAGAGCGGATGGTAGGGTTCGAGTGTGTCACAGGCCCTATGAAGTCGCGGACACAAGATGTCAACAAGTCCCGGCTAGCCCGTGGTCTCTCTATAATACTGTAGGCTGCTTTTATAAGGAATGGACTGGGTCCTCGAGTTCAACTGAATCGATAATTGACTGAAAATAATTAGTTTCAGCTTCTTAAAGACCATTTTGCAGCCATTTTGACCTTATGTTCCCAAACAACGATGAGATTTTTATGGATGACAATGCGCCATGTCACATCTTGGGCAATTTGTGGGGTTTGAAGAACATCTTGGGCAATTTGAGCGAATAATTTGGCAAACCAGATCGCCCGTCATGAATCCCATCGAACATATTCAAGAGGTCAGTTCGTGCACAAAATCCTGTACCGGCAACACTTTCGCAATTAATGACGGCTAGAGTGCAGCATGGATCAATATTTCTGGAGGGGACTTCCAAGAACGTGTTGTGCCCATGACACGTCGAGTTGCTGCACTTTGTCGGCCAAAAGAAGGTTCGATGCAATATTAGGAGGTACCCCATGCCTTTCAGTGTATAATTGAAATAACATTCATAAAATAAAAAAAAGATATTTCTAGATTATTAGTTTCATACCGACAGTTTTTAAATCATTACTTCAAATTATTTCTACAGTAGTTTTGAACCACATTAATTAATAAATTATATTTATTAATAAATATTTTTTTACATATAGTACAAAGTACGTGTTAACATTATTACTATTAAAAATTTGGACTTTCTCGTATATGTACGTATATACGGAGTAATATACGTTATTACAGAGAAAGTTATATAATGCTGCGGCAAAAAACGGCGAATTTACTACAAAAAAGCCTGTATTGGAGGCCCTAACACAGTAAAATTGGATACATATTGTGTTCTAAAATGTAGTTAATTATTCCCTCCAACAAGTTATGTTGTCCTATTTCTGAATTTGATGGCTTTTGATACCGAAAAAATGGATTTTTCCTAAACGTCCGTCCGTTAGTCTGTCTGTCCTTCCGCCTGTTGTCTGTGAACAATGCGTGGGATTTTTTCCACATTGAATATATCTGGTCGGTCAGATCTCAGTCAAAGCTTTGCGGTTTCCAATAACAATCTTTAATTGTTGGAGGTATTTTACATGAAGTCCCTGGCACATTTTCAAATTTTTTTCAAAAATGGCTTCAAAATATTTTCTTCAAACTTTTCGTACAAATAGCGCCAATTGCACTGTTTAAGATGACATAAAATTCATTTTGCTGCATTTATTTGATTTTTCAAAAAGTACGCAAAAAATATGTTTTTGAAATATCGCTCGCTTGCGTAATATGCACATTTAAGCAAATAGTATACATCATTGCATTTGTGAGTAGAAGTGCTTTAAATGACTTCCAATTTTTCGAAATCTCGAAAGTTTTCTGTGAAAAAGAGCTTCTAATTTCACATTTTCAATAACGTCGTTTTAAACGTCGTTTTCATACAAACGGTTCCAAATTTTTGTACGAAAATGTTTATAAAGGAAGGGGTTTTACTCTCCTATAATTTTCTACAGTAATATTGCGTTTCTACCATTAGGCAACCAAAAAATTTAAAAAAATTACAAAAATGTAATTTGGGTGGTGATTAATGACAGTTGGCAAGAGAAATGGAAAGAGTAAAAACAAGCGCAGACCAAAGAAATTAGAAAACTAATTAGTACGAGAAAGTCTATGCCAATCTGTTACACCACTACTAGTTGATTAGTCTCATTCTTGAGTGTTGATAATTACCCTCTTGATTTGATTGATTAGTGATACCGGGGGCGTCTACTGGTGAAGTCATTAGTCCCGTAAGTGTGGGACATGTTTTTGAAGTGGGAGGTGGCGGTGATCTTACCCCGCAGCTTGGCGAGATCAGGCGACGCTCTATAGGTCTATAAATCGAAGAATTGAAGATCTAAATAAATCGAAATATAAGAACTGAACTCTTCCTTTGAAGAGATCTGCCTATTTGCAACCTGAATACCTGACAAGTTTCCAAAAGTCGGTAAGCATGAAGGTGAGTTTGAAAAAACTTAAATTAAAAGCTCATTAAATTGGTAAAATAAGTTATTCTTGTGTAAGAATTTCGTATGTCAAGTGAACTCCTTTATTGAATTGCAGGTATTTTTCGATTTTTTTTGATAACGTGTTTAAAGTACCTTTTAAAGTATTCTTTTTACAAAAAATTCTATCGATTTCCTAAAGAGTATTGAATGGATAATGTGAAGATTTATTTGTTACCAATTACATCTCTCATATGCCCACATGTTTTCTAAACTTTCCTTGAATGTTTGACAAAACACATAAATTCATTTCATATCAAGTCACAAAAGCTATTCTAATACAAACATAGCGTTCATTTTTCTTTTTTATTTTTATTGCTAGTAATCAATTATCGGAAATGTTATCGGTACCTCAAGTGAATGTGAAATATTGATAAAATTAATTACTTAAGGTCTGACATAATACGTGAAAAAATAAATTAAAACAATGCAAATACAACGGATGGGAATAATCTATCCACAGCACTGTGTAATAGGTTACTCACGAGGTATTGAAGCATTATATGAGCAGTCTTCTGACCAAAATGGATATGGAAGGACATAATAATATGGAATTAAAAATATCAGGAACGCAAAGAACAAGACAAGGCAATCCATAACCTGTAATAAATGTTACACCATTTTTAAAATTATGTTTTCACTGACTTTTTAAAATATGTAGTAAGTGTTTTTAATAGTATTTCAAGAGATTAACTAAAATTCAGTAATATGTTATAAACATACAAAATTTATTTGAAAATTCTCTCTCTTTCAGTTTAATGAATGCTTTTGTTAGTAAAGGGCCTTTCAAAAAAAACTGTTAAAAATGGAGGTTATTTAAATCTTTCCTTCCTCTTTGTAACAATTTATAACACCATAATCTTCTAGTTTGTAGTACCTGTCAAATCGAGGCCCTTCTGTGCCTTTGGCCGTGCGAATTGGTGGAAATTGGTAAAACTCCATTCATTAACATGACCAAGTCACTCTGTATGTTGGATGTCGTTTATCTTTGAAGTTGGACAGATCCTTCATTATAACGTATTGAATAATCATTATAATGCTTCTTTAAAAGAGGAAGCGAAATTACAGACATTTTTGGACGAATCTTTAACCCTTTGACTGCCACGTATGCTAATCTCGAAATTACGCTGCCAGGACACGCCCGTTTTTTTGCGTCTCTAAGCAGCATAACTTCACGGCAGAGGATATAGTAGAAATTCATCATTACTGCCATCTATCGATAAAAATTTAACTACAATAAGTTAAACTCGGAGTCCAAGCAAGAGCTTTTCGTCTGCAATGGGTTAAAATTGGAGTAAATTGGGCTCTTAATTAATTCATTAATCTCAGCAGCGATTTTCTCGAAGATCCCTGTAAAAAAATGCTCACGGAAAACATATGCAACTTCTGTCATAAAATACAAGAACTGTAAATCTCGATGTTAAACGCACGCTAACTTAACTAGGCTCTGTGAATTACTAAGGCAGTTCTGACTTCTCTTCTTAAATTAGAAGATCAAATTTGTATGTGAAGTAAGTGATAAGTGAGTTTGTTTTCCATACTTTTTAGAGGCCAACTTTTAAAACTGTACTATTGTGGAAAATAGAGATTTTGTTATAAATTGATGAAATTTGTTACACTGGACCCGGTGTTAATAACTTTTCGTCGTCACAATGCCGATGTAATTACTGCCGTCAGTAATGAAACGAGTTAAAATGCTCTGAAAAGAAGGAAAATTTGAATAACTATTTATTCTTTGCGCATGCAGACATATTCGCTGATATCCAAAGTCAAAGCTTTTCCCAACTGTATCACCCTTGGATAATCACGTCCTGATTCGGTCTATGTAGTCATCAACAAGAAGGTTGGCTATATCCTCAAAACTCTCTCTAATAAAGAATACACTAGTCACAACTAGACATCTAGAGGAAGTGGAGTCATTCGCCGTTGATTTACTCACCCAGCCAGAAATGCCAAACAACCATTCCGCCCCAAGAGTAACGTCTTGCACAGCACGTATGTCATTTCTCAGCACCATCTAAACCATCAGCGGCAGACTGCGACATATAGCTTCATCGCGGAAACTACAATTTGTTTTGCTCCTGCCAGCAATCGAACCGGGATCCTTGTCCGTGGGAAGCAAGCCCTCTAA